TTTCAGGGCTCCCTTAAGGGATCTATAAGTGTTTAGGGGAGGTACAGAACTAGAGGTTGGGGTCAAGGGCTTAAGATGTAGGACATCCAGCAGGTGACGTGCACATGAGATTCCGGTCGAGTTTTGGGCAGTTGCTGGTGTCCATATTGCTGATTACTGCAGTTCTGCGCACCACCAGTCCCTGCCCAACTCTTGCAAACCTGCCTGCACCCTCATGCAAAAGACAGGCCCTGCCAGTCTGTTAGCCCACACAAGAACAATCTTAACCCTCACCAGAAATAGAACCCAGGAATCCCGTCATAATGCTCCATGTCCAACTCTCACAAGACAGGCAAAAGCCGTCTCCCTGAACCCTAAACCCTAAAACCGCAACCCACAGGCAACCGCTTTGTTAGGTACACCGGTGAGGAATGAAGACTTCCCTTCAAGGTTTGGGGTTTGGGGTTTGAGGGCTTAGGGTTTAGGGTTTAGGGGTTTGTGAGTGTTTGTTCGTAAAGAACGTGAAAGCCCGACGTGGTCGTGGGTAGACTCCGAGGTGCTTGAGGGTCTATATTTTCGTACACCTTGCTGTAAGGCGCTCGGCCTTCGTCGAACTTGTAAAACTTGGGAGCAGTGCTTGCAGTCGCCAAATCCAACCCGAAACCTGAAGCCATAAGAACTCAACTGCAGGGGTTTAGAAGGGTTCCAAACATCAAAGGTTAAAGGCAAGTGGCGAAGAGCTTCCTCTTCCGCTTGGACAGGAAGGTGCTGATGGTCTGCGAGGGGTCCGGTCTCTCGGCTCGACTCTTCTATCCTTCACGCGTTTCTTCTCGCCACTGTCACATCTATGTCCAGCCCTCAGTGGGGAGGCATTTCAAGAACCCGCCAAGAGACGAACCGGAAGTGACGGTGGATAGCTTGGTGGGTGATTACGGTAACAATGGGCACCTCTTGCCCAGCTGCCCCTTGCAGGTCAGTCTGATGACCGATGTGGGTGTGGATGTTGTAGACTCCCTAGTACCTAGCCGGCGTGAAAAATCATGGCAAAACAAGCAGGCAAACTGGGAGTCACAGGCCCCTCTAGCAGTAGTGGTGGTTGCAGCGGTGGTGGTAGCAGTCGCAGTCGCAGTAGCAGTAGCGTAGTAGTAGTAGTAGTAGTAGTAGTAGTAGTAGTAGTAGTAGTAGCATGATGCAGAACAAGAGGCCGTGGAGCGGGACGACGCTCACAGCCCAAATTTGCTGCCGCCCAGGCCATAGAGAGCTGG